AAGGACTTGGGAAAAATCTATGGAAATGTCTCAAATCTCCTGTCATGTGGGGTGGGAGGAGGGAGGAGGGATGTGGGAGGTTTAAAACAAAGTTTAAACTCCACAAAGCCACACTCTCAGACCAGCCTAGTGTTGAAATTGTTCCTTCCCCTCCCTTTAATTTTATAGTAGGTTTGCTGCATTCTCCTCTAGTGCCTTTTTCTATTTTCATTTTTCTCCCCTAATCTAACCACTTTTGATTTTTTCTGATCATCTGTCTGGAGCTCTCAGAGTGGCTGCCTTCACCTGTGTGGTTTTTGAGTTCCTATGTGTCTGCCCCTCCCTTTTTGTGGTTTGCTATAATTGTATACTGTGTGGCAGGGCGTTGGCAGTGGCCGCCGTTGGTGTAGTGTAGTGTGGTGGTGTATTTTGGTTGTCCCAAGTCACCTGCAAGTGTGAATTCTCCCATAGTCCCAGCTCCTTTTCTTTTTTGAAAACAGTGGCATGTGTGTCTCTGATAGCTTTCCACCCCAGCAGCAAACTTCTCACTTGCTCTGTTCATTGGATCCTCTGCTCTTGCCAGTCAAGGAACAGTCAGGGATTTGTACCATCTGTCCTGTTACCAGGAGCCTGGTGACTCTAGGTGACAAGGTATTTCTTTGGATTTTGTCTCCCTGTGACAACTCGGCTTTGATGCCTTTCCAGGACTTGTTACCGGAAGGTAGCAGCCCTAAGTTGCTCTGGAGTTCTATGTAAGAGGAACTTCCTAAACTCCCCTCTTCTTCTCTGGCCAGTAGAGCTAAGCAAGGCAAGTGGCTCAGGATTTTCCCCAGTGGCCATAGAAGCAGGTAGAGGGAGAGCATTGGGCAAAAGAGGTTTTGTTTCTCTTTTACTATTTGGAAAGTGACTTGCTAATTGGGACAGTTGGGAGAGGGGTGGGAGGAGGGGAGGGAGTGAGACACAACTGGAAGGCCAGCAGGCTCTGCTAGCAATAGTCCCATTTCACTAGTTTTGCAGTTGAGACCCATGTTTTCTCTGAGTGGTGTTCTGGGAATTTTTCTCCAGGCTAATCTCTAGCTTAAGCTGACTGCTCTCCTCGATTTTGAAATTACTTGGTGTGCATCCACAACTTGCACATTGGATAGTAAAAATTAAAACACTTCGTAGGACTTTGGTATTAACAAATGAGAGAATGGAACATAGGTATCAATCTCTATTTCCTTATGATTCTCTTAAACCACAGTCATTCTGGAAAGTGGGGATTGGAAGCTATTCTGTATAAAAACTTGGCCAAAAATGGAAAGAAGGTACTTAGAAGAGGGAGATAAGAGCCACTGCAGCTGGTCCTATTAAGTCAGAGAATTTGCCTCTGGAAAATGGAAAAGAAAACAATATAGAGATATATATGGGGAAAATGAACCGAACGACATGGATTTTTAAAAAAGCATTCTTTCCTCTGCATGTACCCACTCTTTCCTATCCCTCTCCCCACCCCTGTTCCTTTGTCTTCTCCTTAGATGCAGCTTTTATAGGTACTTACAGAATATCTATCTGACTAGTCTGTAAGGCTAATGGTGCCTCTAGGCTGGTAGTCTGTATCTGGTGTTTACCAGAACCAAAGTGCCTTGCCTTTGCAGCTTTTTCAGTGTATCTGGACTCAGAGACTTAAAAACCAGAGCCTTGGATGCTGAACGAGGGTGTAAGGAGGGTGTGACTTCTTAGGAAGTATCTTGAGTCAGTCAGTGAGGATTGGCTGGGGGGGGTGGCGGGGCTCCAAACACCGTTGCAGTTGATAAGCTGGCTTCTTCAGATTCCTTGGAAATCAATTTCTTAATTCACCAGCCTCTAGAGACCAGTGATCTCATCTCTGTCCAGCTAGAGCTACTCTTCTCCTTCCTTGCCAACCTCTCCTGTTATTGACAGCCAGGCTGTGCCTGCCTTTAATGTCCTACGCCAGCATACTTTGGCTCCTCAAAGCTCTGCTTAGCTCTGTTGGATTGCTTTATATTTCTGACTCTTAAGTGTTCTCCAGGAAGTTTTATCTGCTGGCTATGAGGAAAGGTTGAGCTTCATCTTGACCCGTTAGGGGTCCACCTACCTTCCAAAGTCCTGGAATTATGGATAACAGTAGAAAGGTGTCCAGTTTGGATGGGATTAATCTTGACCCACCAAAGCCCCAAACTGACAAAAGCAGATATCAACCAACAACCCATGCTGCCCAAGGAAGAGATTTCAGGTCAGGAATTTGCTACCTGCTACTTTAATTGGCATCAGTGTCAAATAAAGGCATATGATGACTTCTGGCTTCTGACATTTCTAGGTTTCCTGGGTCATGGCAGTGGCATGGACCAAGCTGTAGTTTGG